GGACCCTCATCATTTCCTTCACCTGCTCCCCCCACCGACCAAACTGTGCAGCTCTGCAACTGCATCCTGGCCCATCCTCATCCTTCTGCCCCCAACCCTCACCTCCTTGTACCCCCAATATGTTTTTCCCAATAAAAAAAAAATACTAAAAAAAAGAAAAAACATTAAAAAAAACTTCCCAAAAAATATAATAAAACCCCCACACACACAAATAAATAAATTTTTAAAAATCAAATAAACAACACCACAAAATAAATGAAAAATCAGAAGCCATACAAATACAAGGAAATTTAAAAAGATGAAAAATTAAGAAACCGGCAACACACTGGAAGAAAAAGTAGAACTGAAGAAATGGAACACAGAAATAGAGAGGGAAAAGACAAATAGGCGTGATAGGAATTCTGGAACCAGGTAAGACCATCCCCACAAAAAGAAAACGGCTATAGTTTTGCTAGAAGAAAACTTTGCAAATATGAAAAATGAGAAAATATGCATTTAATGAACTGAATGAACCTTCAACAGGATAGATTCCAAAAGAAAATCAGTAAGCAGTCTGTGAAAAACAAAAGAGTTACCTATAAGGAGAACCAATAAGAGTAAGTTCTGATTACTTAAGAGAAACATGCAGGCAAGAAGGGCAATGAAATGACATATATAAAACTCTGAAGAAAAAAATTTTCCAACAAAGAATCCTCCATACAGCATAAAACTGTCCCTCAGATATGATGGTGAAATTAGGGCATTTCCAGAAAAGAGTGTAAGAGACATGATAGGGCATCATATAATGATCAAACCAATTAACGGGCTAAAATATCAATACTATTTTGAAAAAGTAGTGTATACATAAAGATGGATCCACACTAGTTTATATTTATTAAACTCAGACATCTAAGACAGTATGGTAAAAAAAAAGAGATTTTAAAGGAAAAAATAGATATAGGTACTATTAATGATTTAATTGTGTCCTCTCCAAATGAGTTGACTTCAATCATTAGAGTTCAATACCTCAAAACCTATTTTTTTATTTATTTCCCATTTAATTTTTTATATTGGTGTGCATACAAAATTCATATACATTGTGTTTCACACTATTCTTCATTCACATTGTGTTTCTTACAATCATTCAAAACCTATCCTTTTTTTTAAATTTTATTATTATTTTGTGTGTCTGTGTACCGTCAAATCAGATCTGACTGGTACAGGAGGAGATTGTCCCTCCTTTCCTGGCAGAGCATCTAGTGGATTTGAACCATGCGCCTCTGGGATTGCAGAGAAACTTCTTGCCACTAGGCCATCAGAGCTCCCCTAAAACCTATTCTTGAGATGGTTTTAAACTCAGTTGGAATAGACTCAATAAGGTAGTATTGTGTGGCTCTTGTGGACTTGTTTTCATTTTCCTCAGCCTCAAATTGAACATGAGTAACTGATCCTTAAGAACCTCTCCAAATATGAAAGAGCAACATTGTCAGTTTGAAGACTCAAGTGTGCCTGATCTAGGTAACGGAATACATCTTAGTAACTGAACACTGACTATATCTGAAAGGTGGAGAATGATTTATAATTGATGCCTTTAATGCTGCTGTGTTGGAGAAGAGTACCGAATATTCCATGGACCACCAAGACAACAAATATGTCTGGAAAAGTTGAACCAGGGTGCTCTGTAGAGACGATGAAACTTTGTCTTAATATTCTTTGTTTGGGCATGTCAGTCCTTCAAAAAAGACATCATGCTTGGAAAGGTGGAGAGAAAGAGAGGAAGGTGGACTGACACAGTGACTGTACAACGAGCTCAAGAGTATGAGAGGCGATGAGGATGGCACAAATAGGGTTAGGTTCAGATCTATTAATCACAGGGTCAACATGAATCAGTTCACTTGGTGGTACCTAAACAACAACAACAAAAATATGGGCTGTAAATCCTAATTCTTTTATTTCTTAGAAGAGAGGATGGTTAAGACTTGGTCACATGGTATCAGAGGGGACAGCCACTGGAGAAGACAACATGCTTAGTAAAGTAAAACCACCTGTAATGTAAATACATTGCAGCAATTGGAACATTCTGGTGCACTTTCTCTAAAACATATTTGTTCTTGTGGAAGTCCAAGGGATATTCAGTATTCTTCTCTAACATCACAGCTTCCCTTCACTGATTCAAGAATTAATTCCTCTGAACTTTAAAATTTATGATTTGGTTAATTACATATTCTCTATAAATGATAATTCATCATTTCTTTAACATGAGAGAATCTAGACTCACTTAACATTAGATATATACTAACAGCAAGAGAAATACATAAAATGATTTATTAAGTACTAATAATTTATACATTTCACTAAGTGTTCAGGGTGCCCAACAAATAACCAGTTAATTATCAAAAGAGAAAATTAAAAAAGAATTTCATTTAAAAAACCCCACTAACCTGTCTACTTCATCTCGAGCTACAATGTCTCCTTTCTTTAAGGCTTTTATAGCAAACATCTCATTTGTGTGTCTATATTCAGCCAAAAGCACCTGAAGTGAGATGAATATTATTATTATTATTATTATTTTTCAGTTATTAATTTTATAGGTATTAAAAAACAAAAACGTCAAAATATTACCTTTCCAAAATGTCCTCTACCCAAGACTGCACAACACCTGAAGTCTTGTAGGTTAAACTGAAACCTTTGCTGAGATCTGAAAATAGTAATTTCAATTTTTTTTAAAAAAAGGCAATTAAGCATGAGACCAAAAACACCATAACAAAACTATACATAAGTTATTTACCTTTTATCTTCAAGTTCTCGAATACAACTATAATCTAACCCTGATGGAGGACTATCACGATCATACTCAGACTGGGATTTCTGAAGTATACTATTTCTGTCATTTCCAATATCAAAGGTACTTGCTGAATCCTGCAAAGTATTAAATACACATTACCATAAAAACTATCATACAACAAATTCATTTAGTAAGGAAGATGTTAAGGCATTCAAAAGTCAATAAGAATGAAAAAATATTCAGGCTTTGAACAATCATTCTTGATTAATTTTATATTACAGTTTTTTAAAAAAAATATTAAAAACAAAACATTACTATCACGTTCTACACAAATGTTAACTAAGTACAGTGATACTAACTGATTATCTGGCTCCATATCAACTGCATTTTAATGACAAAGTGTCTTGTCTGTCAGGCAATACGCGCCTATGCTTCTCCTGTCTTAGGTGACCAAACCCGTCAAGGCTTGTCAAGTCAATCTAATTTAGTTGAGAATAACCATACACATAAGTACACTGTTCACAAAGGAAATTTTTAATTGATATACTTCATTCACTATGATGATTTTATTGCTAATTCATTTAGTGAGAAGGAAATACATAAAGTTTAAAATGTCTTGCCTGTCCTGGTGTTTCCATAACTTTTGATTCAGTGGGTTCATCTATTTCTCCAAGAGAGGAAGCACGTAGAGGGGCCGGAGTAGGTTCAGGTTCAAGATCAAAGTCCAATTTGGTTACTGTAGAACCACTTAAAGAACATAAAGTAATTCACCAAAAAATAGTAAACAAAAGTGTGTATTTTAAATAACTTTAAAATGAAAGAATTTAAATTATAATATGTAAGCAGAATATTAATTTCAAAATACAACTCTGAAAAATGAGACTTAAAATATTTACTGTGACCAAAATGAAAGAATGTCACAGTAATTATTTTATATAAGAGATGGTTAAAAAAACTTAAGATACCTAGCTGGGGGTGCTAGTTCAGGGATGCGTACGTCAACCACTGGCACTGTAGTAGGCACAGGCGCTTGAGGGCTGAAGGTGCCAGAATGATTTACAATAGCTCTTCTCACTAGCCTTCCCCATGTGGCAATATTAATATTCATTTGAGGAGCTCTGAGAAATGTCTTGCCTGTGGATATTATGAATAAAGAAAATAGAATAAGTCATTTCTTTTATGTATTACCAAAAGCCATAATTTAAAAATTTATATTCTTCAGCTTATATGAAGAACAAACAAAATCCGTCTCTTACAAAGCATAGTATTTATGAATGAATCAGTATTTTATCTTGATTTGCTTCCAAGAATTCAGAGAAATAGTGAATAGATGGTCATGTTAATAATGTTGCCTTTCATTACTGTTGTGAGAACTGAGTAATAGTTGACCCTCCAGGTCGTTTTCAGAGGCTGTAAATCACACGGGAGCTGACTGTCCATCTTTCTTCACAGAGTAACTGGTGGATTTAAAACGCGTGCCTTTGTGTTGGCACTACAACTCTTTATTACTAAGCCACCACAGCTCCCGGATGGGTATATGAATAAAAAAAAAATTAGCTGTGGCTTTACCACGATTAAATAATGGTCCACTATACTTTTTTCTTACATATTTTATTTTACTCAAATAATTTATACGTTCTATGTTTTGCCTTCTTATATCCACAGAGGTATTTGTGTAAGTGCTGCTTTACTAATTTTTTTACATACTGCTGTAAAAAACCTCAACAAAACATTAAACTGTTGTGCTTACAAAAACATCTTGTTTTGGAGATGAGGTGAGGAGTAGCTGGCAAGCAAACATAGATGTGCGTTATTTATGTGATAATATGATAGATGTTTAAAATATTCCTTAATAGCAAGCTGAAAAATAACACGAACTTAAAAAAAAAAAAGCAAAACTAACAAAAATGTATGAATAGACGTCACTTTTTAAAAAGTATTATTTAAGACAACACCAAACTTTTTGTGTTTGTATTTGACTCTTAATAAGTACCTTGCTGTTTTGAGAAAATTTTCTTTTGTCTTTGGAGTTTGGGCCTTCTTTCAATAACAGGATTAAAAAAAGTAACCTGTGAGGATGAAAATTGACAATGAAGTTGACATAAAAACAGCACTGTATTTACTGTTCATGAAATTCACTAAACTTTAAAATATGAAAGCATAAAGTAATCTTAGATGTAATTTAATCCAACCATCTCATTTTCTAGATGAAAAAGTTGACCAGGAGAATATAAAGGTTTCTCAAGGTCACACAGCTACTCAATAGCACAACTGAGAAAAAAATTTAAGCTGTCTGTTAGCCTAACAGTCTCCATTTTTTATCTGTTCCCTATATGTATTAGTTCAATTGAAATTATGCAATTTAATAAAATTCATTTTTTTACCTCTGCAAATAAAGTACCCTGTGGTTCCAAATAGAGACACATGCCATGTCGTTGGTTGTCTAAAAAATCTTCTAACCTCAGAAACTTTACAGCACACAGAGATCGCCAATCACGCCAATAAACTGAAATTTCCAGTTCACGTGACTAGGATAATTAAAGAAAATAAAATAAACAGAAGACATCATTGGACACACTCAAATAAAATATTACAAAAATATAAATACAAATACAATAAACAAATATTACACAGAGAAGGTACATTTTAAAACTGTTTTATAATGCCTCTTAATTATTACTTTTAACTACATACATTTTATCATAAAGGAAAGCACTTGCATTTAATCAATCTCTAGCTAAGGTATTTCTTAGATATAAGTAACACAAAATTTGGAACACTCAATCCAGGTGAACAGTTACAGAAAGTCTTCTCCATCAGAGCTCCAAGCTTCTGGAACTTTTTGCCACCTGGCATCACTTAATTGATCTACTGCTAAAGAATGTTTAAGTGTTTGCCTCAAAAAACCAACGCCAAACTTTCTTATTTTCTTGACCCACAGTTTATTTAAGGAGACAACTACATTTACTCAGTGCTGCCACATATATGCCCAACAGCTAAAAAGTCATTTGTTCCTCAAGAGTATTATTACCAGGAAGCAGAACCAGTGACACCAGCAAGGAGGAGAAGGGAAGACTCAGACTAGACTTCATACAGAAAGATATGTATTCATTTTAACACTTAAAAAAATTATCAAATGAGAGGAAACATGAAAGGCCTAAAACCAAGGACAGGGAGCCATTTGAGTGTTGTTGTGTAGGTGCTGACGAGTCAGGCAGTCATTAAAAATGATGGTTAGCACAGGAATCCAGAATTAAGGTTGCACAGAGAAGTGTACTCGGGGTGGGAGGTGGGACGGAAGGGATGGGGGAATTGTATACCAATGAAGGAATTCTTTTTTTTCTTTTTCTTTTCGGAGAAGGGAGCGACCTGATGGGGAGGGGTGGGCAGGGAGAAAAGTGTGGCAATGAATGACTGGAAATCCAAAACCTCTGTAAATGTTTATTAAAATTAATAATAAAAAAAAAGAAAAAAAATGATGTGGAAAAACAGATTGCTACAAAAAAAAAAAACAGATTGTTAAATATAAGTCCTTGTAGACTATAGTTGAGAAGTTGAAGTTGTAGGTTCTACTTTACCTATTCTAAGCATATTTTGCTTATAAACTACAAGTTTCTGATTATTTTTCCAGATTTTCTAGAAAAGGGATGTTTTTCCATTCAGAGTAACAAAGCAATAAATTATTTCTTTTAGAGAACAACTTTCAATATGGGGGTTTGTAGATATATCTATCTATCTATCTATCTATATATATCTCTATATCTCTCTCTCTATATCTATCTATCTATCTATCTATCTATCTATCTATATAAATAAAATCTCTTAGCATACACAAAAGAAACCAAAACAACTACCTTTGATTATAATAAAAACTAATTTATGCAAATGAGCACAGAAAAAAAAAACCCAGTGACCAAAACCCCGAAACAAACCATGATGAAAAAAAAAAACCTCCAACAAAAAAACCTCAAAAACACAATGTGTCAGAAAGGTTGACAGTCATTTATGGACTACACAATAAAAAATTTATAGCAGTGAGTATGCCTCAATCTCATTTCTTCTGACTCACAGTTAACATGACAAACACCATTATGAAAAGCAAAAGAATTCAGAGAACAGACTGATTTTAAGATCAACAAGAGCAGGCATATACAGTAGGCATATACTAGTTGGACACGAGTGCTATAATATCCCCTTCATTTGGAAAAGTAATTTTGGGAAATTAAAAAAGAAATTTATCAAGAATTTGTTAATTTAGACTACACAACTTCATTCTGCTCTATTTTCTTCTACAGTATTTTCTGTCTTTTGGATTGGACAGATCTAACAGGCACAGATACTGGGGTATAAAATTATGGGAGCTCTGGTGGTTTAGTGGAAAGGAACTGTGCTGCCAACTTAAAGTTCTGCGGTTTGAATTCACCAGCTTCTCTGCTGGAGAAAGATAGGCAACCTCCTTTTCAATTACTGCCTCCACAGCAAT